CTCATAGGTATTTACACCAGGCTAAAACTAAATCCATGAATGCTTGGAAATTCCAGTTAAGACAAATAATGGCTTTTAGGGAAACAGCATCTATGTATTAAAATGAGCACACCTGAATTTTGTTAAATGTTTGCCCTTATTAACAGCAGACAGTACACATGATCTAGTTTAAAAACTAGTTTTAATACTAAGCTGTGGCTAAAAAGGCATTAAAACTGCTGCCATATTTGTCCCAACTACATAGGCTGCTGGAGGGGTGTGTGTGTGAGATGTTAATTGCAGCAAAAACAAGTGGATACTTTCCCTGTGTGTAGATTTTGCTAGGGACAAACCTTTGACAACCTGTTCTGTCACATCTTTGGTATTGGAGAAAAGTAATGGCAGAGAAAAGAAGGATGTGGCAATGTGTCTTTTTCTGGATTCAGCATGAAACAGGGAAGATGCTATTTTTAAGCCTGGCTGGTGGAGAAAGCAACTCAATAATGCAACACACCTATTTTAGAATGAAATTAGCCCCCAGCTTGGAGGGAATTCACATGAAAGCAATATTTGCTTTAATGTGAGCTGAGGACAAAGTTGTTCTGTTGAGTTGCTGAGGGCTGCATGCTTATTAGGTCAGTACATAAGAACATAAGAGAAGCCAATGTTGGATCAGGCCAATGGCCCATCTAGTCCAACACTCTGTCACACAGTGGCCAAAAATACCAGGTGCCATCAGGAGGTCCAGCAGTGGAGCCAGGACACTAGAAGCCCTCCCACTGTTGCCCCCCCCCCCAAGCACCAAGAATACAGAGCATCATTTGCCCCAGCCTGAGAGTTCCTATCTATACCTTATGGCTAATAGCCACTGGTGGACTTCTGCTCCATATGCTTATCTAATTCCCTCTTGAAGCTGTCCTTGCTTGTAGCCACCGCCACCTCCTGTGGCAGTGAATTCCATTGTGTTAATCACTCTTTGGGTGAAGAAGTGCTTCCTGTTCTAACCCAATTGCTTAGCAATTTCATTGAGTGCCCACAAGTTCTTGTATTGTGAGAAAGGGAGAAAAGTACTTCTTTCTCAACCTGCTCTATCCCATGCATAATCTTATAAACCTCAATCATGTCACCCCTCAGCTGTGGTTTCTCCAAGCTAAAGAGCCCCAAGTGTTTTAACCTTTCTTCATAGGGAAAGTGCAGAAAAGTACAGAAAAGGCAGAGGCATCTCTTAACAACTTGCGCACTTCCAGCTGTAAAATGTGAATGCATATGTAAAAATAATGGCTGGTGAATCTCCAAAGATGGTTATTAAATATGGAGTAGTTTGTATCACCGGTTCCCCATCAGAGGTAGAAAAACAATGCCTGCTTTAAAAACGCAGTAGAATTTTAACATGTTCAGAATTACAGTCTACTTGTGCTTGAAAACCCTGAGCACAACTGCTGGACTGAGTAGACGGCCAGTATGAGTAGAACTGACTTTGATGGACAAATGGATTCAATTTATGCTGTGTCTTTCTGTGCTGAGGAGAATGCTCACCGAGGAAACAACCTCCGGACCTGCTGCTGAGTAACCAGCCTAAAGGCTGCGATGAAAATCACTCAAAGCATCTTTCTACCCCCAGTGATAGGTGATAGAAGTCCCTCTCCCCTTGTTCTCTCATACTACTACGCTGCAGGGTGACCTAAAGGGTGGGAATCCTTCACATAGTCGACCGTGACGGGAAGAGAGGGCTTCTTCCAGCCCTGACTGCAGGTCGTCGTCTCGACCCCTTCCCACCTCAGACCAGCGACTCCGTTCTTTTCACAGTCCCTCTGGATCGCCTTTGCAACGTAAAGCCGCCACGTTCCCGCCAATCAGAAACCAAGCTGAACGTGAAGGTCGCAGCTTGAGCCTCACACTTGGGCAAGATTGACCCCCCCCCCTCCTCCAAAAAAACCAATATGTGCGCTACACACTTATTAAACGACGGGCGGCATGCGGAAGTTAGCAGCCCCGCTTCAGACCAGCCTCCCGCTCTGTTGGGCCGGCTTGGTGGGGCGATCAACTAGGGGAAGGGAACAGAGAAGCCCCGCCTCCCCTCCCTTTAATCCCGCCCTCTCCGGCTCTTGGCGGCGTTCGGAGGGAGCTGCCGCTGGATTCCCGCGGTGGTGCAGCTCCTGCCTCGCCCTCTCCGCGCGCGCTCCGCCTCGCCCGGGCAGGGTTACGCGCCTCGACGCCTCTGCTCAGCCCGGCGGGACGTGCAGGATGCTCCCCTCCGCGGCGCAGTTACTCCGGAGTGCCTGGGGAGGGAGGTGGCAGCCCCGGATGCGGCTGCTCGCCCCTCTGGCGGGCGGAGGAGGGGGAGGGCGAAGAAACGGGAGCTCTTCCCTCCAGCGGGACCAGCCGCAGGTGAGTGGCGGCCCGGGCAGGGAGCGGGTCCGCGTTGGGCGCTCTTTCGCTCTCCTCCCTTTCAGGCCTCGAGAAGAAGAAGAAGAAGCGAAACTTCCTGGTGGTTGTTTCTCGCCAGGGCAAAGCGCCAGGTTGGGGCTTCGGTTGCTTTGGGCTTCCGGGCGGGTTGGAACCAAACAGAAAAGTTGCGTTGGGCTCCGGACGCGGCTGAAACCGCACGCTCTTTCCTGCCCCAGTGCCAGAGCTCGGGGCCTTCAGACTAGAGAGCAAACTTGCAAAGAACGGAAGGAGAGGCAGAGCAGGCGTTCGAGTCCCGAATGGGGCTCTTTCCAGATGTCATTCCTTCACTGATGAATTCCGGATGGGTGGGTAGTTGTGTCAGTCTGTGGCAGCCAAACAAAACAGGAGTCTTCTTGGTAGCCCTAACGGTGCCATTGGGCTTCTCTGTTATTATTCTCCGCCGCTGATCAAGACAGTGTGCATGAATGCTAAGGAAAGTGCGCTCTTTCCTCCCGTATTCCAAAGAGCCTGTGGAAACAATCTTCACTTTAAACCGCAGACTTGCAATTTTCTTATAAAGACTTTCCAATACCATATCAACCTACAGTTCTTTAAGGATGCGTTTGTATCTCGATTTCAGCACTATACTTAGCACTGGGAATGCTGCTAGCCCTTGGGGACTTCATGCATGTCTAGATTGAAATGAGAACAGACTGTGCCTTTTCCCTTGGTACTTGAAATTGCTAGTGGCATTGAACATTGCCAGTGGCATTGAGAGTCATACCCTTCTCATAAACACACGTGTCCATGGAGATGTCTACTATTTCTGCCTTGGTGGTGACCGTTAGAGAGAGGATACACTTCGTTAAGGAAGGGGTAATATATCTGTGTGCTGTTGCAAGACGACCCAACATTAATCAGCCTTGCCTTGCCAAAACGCCTGAGCATTAGAAAGCCACTGGAGGTAATCTCGTGGGAGGGAAGCAATTAGTTCAGTTAGATCGAGCAGTTAGTTGCTGGCAGCATTTTTCTTTCTGCCTTCTTTCTCTCATTTGTATTTGCCATCCCCTTATTTTCAGTGGGTTGTAAAATAAGAGTTTTCTGAAGCTCAGAACTCTGCTGACACTTATCAGCCATTTGCCTTCCACAACTTCGTAGAGACTCTTTCTAGCAAGGAAACAGCGCTCTGTGCCGAAACTCTTTATACGGGAGTAAAGGTTTTCTTCCTTTGTGAGCCCTCAAGGTGTGCCTGAGAAAATGTATTTGGCAGCAAGTGATAGTGTTGTTTCCAGAGCGCTGTGATGAGAGCCACTCTTTATTGCTTAGAGGCAAAGTCTTCTCTCTGACAGGATATAGGCTCAGAATTAAGCATATGCCGCTTTGATCTTATGAAAAATAAACAAAAAAGCCCTGTTGAAAATCATGACATTTCCCCCTCCCCCCACCACACTCTTTTTGGTTCTACATCAACTGTTGTCCTACTTTTGGAAGAATAACAAATTATCCATGGAAAACACTTAAGGAGCTGTTTATTTAGCACAGATGTATTCTGTGCACTCTGTACTCAAAACACAGACAATCTGCATATAAATGACTCTTGTAAATAATTGTAGTAAATCAACTAGAGTTCAATAAATGTATGATTTCCAATGCCTGCTTCTAGCTGTTGAAGCCATCCTCCCTTGGGGCTTGTTTATTTATTTTTGCATGCTGGATATGCACTGCTGGGTAGTATCTACAGAGGCCCCATATAACAACAGGAGCTCATCAGCAGGCATTTAGATTGTTACTTAGTCACCCTGGGTTAAGTAGCTTAACCTTCTGTCACCACTTCAATGCAATATTGCTGAATGATTCCGGAAGGTATGCTGTTGTTTTCTTTATGTTCCCTTGTACATTTAACATGTTCATTTTGTAAAATTTTGGCTTCATTGCTGTGGAAAGTGGTAGCCTGTGAAATGGTGAAGCATCACTTTGGATATTGTTTTTTAAAAAATATATATTTTCCCCATGTGTGGGCTCATGTGTGCTGAGGAGAATGCTCACCGAGGAAACAACCTCCGGACCTGCTGCTGAGTAACAAGCCTAAAGGCTGCGATGAAAATCACTCAAAGCATCTTTCTACCCCCAGTAAGGTAGCTAAACAGGTGACAGAAGTCCCTCTCCCCTTGTTCTCTCATACTACTACGCTGCAGGGTGACCTAAAGGGTGGGAATCCTTCACATAGTCGACCGTGACGGGAAGAGAGGGCTTCTTCCAGCCCTGACTGCAGGTCGTCGTCTCGACCCCTTCCCACCTCAGACCAGCGACTCCGTTCTTTTCACAGTCCCTCTGGATCGCCTTTGCAACGTAAAGCCGCCACGTTCCCGCCAATCAGAAACCAAGCTGAACGTGAAGGTCGCAGCTTGAGCCTCACACTTGGGCAAGATTGACCCCCCCCCCTCCTCCAAAAAAACCAATATGTGCGCTACACACTTATTAAACGACGGGCGGCATGCGGAAGTTAGCAGCCCCGCTTCAGACCAGCCTCCCGCTCTGTTGGGCCGGCTTGGTGGGGCGATCAACTAGGGGAAGGGAACAGAGAAGCCCCGCCTCCCCTCCCTTTAATCCCGCCCTCTCCGGCTCTTGGCGGCGTTCGGAGGGAGCTGCCGCTGGATTCCCGCGGTGGTGCAGCTCCTGCCTCGCCCTCTCCGCGCGCGCTCCGCCTCGCCCGGGCAGGGTTACGCGCCTCGACGCCTCTGCTCAGCCCGGCGGGACGTGCAGGATGCTCCCCTCCGCGGCGCAGTTACTCCGGAGTGCCTGGGGAGGGAGGTGGCAGCCCCGGATGCGGCTGCTCGCCCCTCTGGCGGGCGGAGGAGGGGGAGGGCGAAGAAACGGGAGCTCTTCCCTCCAGCGGGACCAGCCGCAGGTGAGTGGCGGCCCGGGCAGGGAGCGGGTCCGCGTTGGGCGCTCTTTCGCTCTCCTCCCTTTCAGGCCTCGAGAAGAAGAAGAAGAAGCGAAACTTCCTGGTGGTTGTTTCTCGCCAGGGCAAAGCGCCAGGTTGGGGCTTCGGTTGCTTTGGGCTTCCGGGCGGGTTGGAACCAAACAGAAAAGTTGCGTTGGGCTCCGGACGCGGCTGAAACCGCACGCTCTTTCCTGCCCCAGTGCCAGAGCTCGGGGCCTTCAGACTAGAGAGCAAACTTGCAAAGAACGGAAGGAGAGGCAGAGCAGGCGTTCGAGTCCCGAATGGGGCTCTTTCCAGATGTCATTCCTTCACTGATGAATTCCGGATGGGTGGGTAGTTGTGTCAGTCTGTGGCAGCCAAACAAAACAGGAGTCTTCTTGGTAGCCCTAACGGTGCCATTGGGCTTCTCTGTTATTATTCTCCGCCGCTGATCAAGACAGTGTGCATGAATGCTAAGGAAAGTGCGCTCTTTCCTCCCGTATTCCAAAGAGCCTGTGGAAACAATCTTCACTTTAAACCGCAGACTTGCAATTTTCTTATAAAGACTTTCCAATACCATATCAACCTACAGTTCTTTAAGGATGCGTTTGTATCTCGATTTCAGCACTATACTTAGCACTGGGAATGCTGCTAGCCCTTGGGGACTTCATGCATGTCTAGATTGAAATGAGAACAGACTGTGCCTTTTCCCTTGGTACTTGAAATTGCTAGTGGCATTGAACATTGCCAGTGGCATTGAGAGTCATACCCTTCTCATAAACACACGTGTCCATGGAGATGTCTACTATTTCTGCCTTGGTGGTGACCGTTAGAGAGAGGATACACTTCGTTAAGGAAGGGGTAATATATCTGTGTGCTGTTGCAAGACGACCCAACATTAATCAGCCTTGCCTTGCCAAAACGCCTGAGCATTAGAAAGCCACTGGAGGTAATCTCGTGGGAGGGAAGCAATTAGTTCAGTTAGATCGAGCAGTTAGTTGCTGGCAGCATTTTTCTTTCTGCCTTCTTTCTCTCATTTGTATTTGCCATCCCCTTATTTTCAGTGGGTTGTAAAATAAGAGTTTTCTGAAGCTCAGAACTCTGCTGACACTTATCAGCCATTTGCCTTCCACAACTTCGTAGAGACTCTTTCTAGCAAGGAAACAGCGCTCTGTGCCGAAACTCTTTATACGGGAGTAAAGGTTTTCTTCCTTTGTGAGCCCTCAAGGTGTGCCTGAGAAAATGTATTTGGCAGCAAGTGATAGTGTTGTTTCCAGAGCGCTGTGATGAGAGCCACTCTTTATTGCTTAGAGGCAAAGTCTTCTCTCTGACAGGATATAGGCTCAGAATTAAGCATATGCCGCTTTGATCTTATGAAAAATAAACAAAAAAGCCCTGTTGAAAATCATGACATTTCCCCCTCCCCCCACCACACTCTTTTTGGTTCTACATCAACTGTTGTCCTACTTTTGGAAGAATAACAAATTATCCATGGAAAACACTTAAGGAGCTGTTTATTTAGCACAGATGTATTCTGTGCACTCTGTACTCAAAACACAGACAATCTGCATATAAATGACTCTTGTAAATAATTGTAGTAAATCAACTAGAGTTCAATAAATGTATGATTTCCAATGCCTGCTTCTAGCTGTTGAAGCCATCCTCCCTTGGGGCTTGTTTATTTATTTTTGCATGCTGGATATGCACTGCTGGGTAGTATCTACAGAGGCCCCATATAACAACAGGAGCTCATCAGCAGGCATTTAGATTGTTACTTAGTCACCCTGGGTTAAGTAGCTTAACCTTCTGTCACCACTTCAATGCAATATTGCTGAATGATTCCGGAAGGTATGCTGTTGTTTTCTTTATGTTCCCTTGTACATTTAACATGTTCATTTTGTAAAATTTTGGCTTCATTGCTGTGGAAAGTGGTAGCCTGTGAAATGGTGAAGCATCACTTTGGATATTGGTTTTTTAAAAAATATATTTTCCCCATGTGTGGGCTCATGTGTACTTAAAGATTCTCATCAAGCAGTTGTGTTGCATCGAAGACCCCTAGGGATGGCTTTCCTTCTTTGAATTACTCCATTGCTTTGCAAGTCAGCAAATGGTATTTCTGAAGGGGAAAGGTTATGTGCTTGGTTATAATCTATGCTGTTAACACTGGCTTAACGGTGTGCTATGCATATACAAATGTGCTTATGTAAAACAAAATTATATGCTTGGTGTTATGGCCAAGATAAAAAAAACCCTCATGGTAGTAAAATGCTAAACCACTAGCAAAACATCACTGACAGTTAAAGTTAGTACTAGTAACGTGCCTTTACTCAAATGTACCATTCCATTTTCACATGTACTTTTGCAGCAGATTCAAATCATTATTTTTGCTACAACAGTTAAACATTATATAATTGATTTGCAGGGGTCTTGCAAACGCAGAATCTGTGTTGGGGGTTCAGAGCCCTTCCTTCCCTCCTCGTTTTTCACCCTCACTATATATAAAGGGGGATGTTTTTGGTATGTCAGTCTGACAAACACAGACATAATCTGAGTAGTACTGAAATGTAGGTCCTTCTGTGGGAAAGGGTCAGCTATTGTGGCTGGCCTCGGGTAGTCAGCCAATACCTGTGGTTGCACCAGAGAGTGGTCTTGCCTTTGACATCATGGTGAGCCTAAGATGTGCATGAAGTACCACAGAAGCACGGCATAGCTTCAAGGACAACCCTCTCCTCCCGAGCTCACAAAAAAGTTCGGATGGGTTCTACTCACCTGAAAGAGGCAGGACATTTGTCATGGGACCAAGATACATAAAATTATTGGATCAGTTTCGTCTTAAAGAGGACTCCTTGCCTTTAGATAAATTTGTGTTATAAGGAAGAGATTCTTTAGTGTAGCTCATGGAAATAAATAGCATAATAGTGTTTATCAATGTGACTGCTTATAATTTTAAGAGTGCTTGAATCCCCCCCCCCCTCTGCCCGGGTAATCTATTGAAGAACATAGAAACACCATTTCCTCTGGTAATCTTGGGAACATGGAAGCAAGATCCACAGCATACTAGCAGTAATTATGGGACAAGAAAGTTCATTAGCGAAAGAACTCGCTACATCTCTGGAGCAGAGGGAAAGTTAGTTGAGTGATTAGTTATTCTTCTTGCAAGTTGGGCTTCAGCTGGCTGTGGCATACGGTGAGTGGGATCCCGCTGAGAAACTTCAGTGAGGAGTCTGCGCGGTAAGCACTGAGAATTCTACGAGATCTTGTCACAGTTCCGCAGGGCCGTGAAAACTGAGCTTTTCCGGCAGGCATTCCGATAGGAGCTGCACCTTATCAGCCATGCCCTGTGTCGACCTAGAGCTAGAAGTTACTTAGAGTGGTAGCACTGCTGAATGTGTTCTTAAATGCACTTTAGTATATCACACTGCCATCGTTATATCAACTGTTTTAAATTGTTTATTATGGATTTTTATACTGAAATGTACATTATTTTATTGGTTTTATGTGAGCCGCCCTGAGCCTGCCTCAGCGGGGAGGGTTGGGTAAAAGTTAAATAAATAAATACATGGGAGGCATTGTATGGAAGCAGGGGAGGGAAGGAGAAAGCAGCTACTTCATGTGTGAACTGAGCCTCGCTATCTGGTAGAGATAGTGCACATGAAAAAGGCCTTCTCTACTGTGGAACCTTGCTGGGTGACTTTGGGCCAGTCACACACACTCAGCCTAAGCTACCTCACAAGTCTGTTGAACAAATTTAGAGTCCAGTGGCACCTTTAAGACCAACAAAAGTGTATTCAAGGTATGAGTTTTCATGTGCATGCAAACGTTTTCAAAATAGTATTTGAAAAAATGTCCATGCACACAAAAGCTCATACCTTGAATAAACCTTTGTTGGTCTTAAAGGTGCCACTGGACTCTAAATTCTGCTGCTTCAAACCAGCACGGGTAAGCCTGGAACTACCTTCACAAGTCTGTTGTGAAAACGAAGGGGTGAATGTTGTAAGCCACTTTGGGTCCCCATTTGGGAGGAAAATTGGGGTATAAAATGACACAAATAATAGTTTGGGAGGTTGCTTTAAACTTCTCCTTGTAGCAAACTTTTCTGCCCAGCAAGCTGTTCCTGCACAGTTTCTCAGCACATAGATAACATATTGATTCTTTGTCACTGTCTGCCTGGTTACCTACTTGGTTACCTTTTTATGTTTAAAAATACTCCTGGTATATTTAGAGGGGAAGAAGCTGTAAAGCTGGTTTATGTACCTTTGAAAGTATTCTGTATTGTATTTGTGTAAAGATTAAAACAGGAATGCTTGCCTTTCTATGGAGTAAGGTGTGCTGGATTTTCTTTGAAGCCAGCCAACATTTCCACATAGGTGGAAAAATGCAGAATTTTTTTTGCCCCTAATGCCTGGAGAGTTTTCATGACTGCTTCTATATTAGGGTCTCTGTACTCCCAGTGATAAGTGCATTTGAACCGGGGTGGGGGGTTCCTTCTCTTGCTCTGTTCTTCTGCTTCAAAATTTTTGCTAGAAGATCTAGTTGTACATGAATCTGGCTGAAAAATATTAATAACCTCACAGTTATGGGAAAAGAAAGTAGCATTGTGAATCCACAATCCTAAAACATAGGGCACTTTGTACTTAAGTAGGGTCTGATGTGTTCGTACAGCACATACGTCTACTTGTAATCCACATGTGTTTGTGATTTTAATCATACCTTTGCAGCACCTCCATTTCCTCCTTCCCCCACATTTTTGTACATGGCTAATGGTGGTGATGGTGGAATCAGCAGTGGTGTACAGTATGGGTGCCAGCCTTTCTGCTTGGGTGGCGAAGGTGCCTTAGCAAAATATCGTCATTTTTGCCTCTCAAACAGCTGGTTGTGTGCTGCACCAGGCAAAAAGACAGTAGGTGAGGTTCTGCCGGCCCATTATGCACGATGGGTGGTAGCAGTGGTGGGGAAGTGGTATTTCACCACAGTGCTCGGTAGAC